GGGGGGTCGCGGCACAGTGGTGACGTGGTATAGATGGATCAAGTATAATGATATCTGACAGTGATTAAAATCACTATCAAAAAAAAACGCTTCGATGCAAATCTTTAGATAGTGTTTAATTTTAAAAAATTGGTGGATTATTCCAAAAGCTACATGCTAGTTCATTATTAATATCCTAATTAAGATAAATTGTGTCGAATGAAAAAGGGATTATTAAAAAATATTATTTCTTATAAAAAATAATGTTGATCCATATACTTTTAAATATGTCATAGCATTATAAAGTTAAAAATGTAAAATACAAAATCGAAAATTTTCACACAAAAATAGCATTCGGTAGCCATTTACACCGTGAAGATAAAATAATAAAATATAAAAGTGTCAGACCTTCCGGAACATTTTCAAAAGTTAAGTTGAAAAAGTTGTCATATTAAATCCCCCCCTGTGGGCAGGTAAAGGGTCAGATATAAAAAAAATATATACCAAATGATAGGTAAAGACATCATGCATCTATAAAAAAAAAATTATATTGATATGTTCATTTTTGAAAAAGTTTTTTTGAAAGATTTGTGATCTTTTGACATATTGTTCATCAAAATCGGTCCAGCGAGAGCTGAGATTGTGCGTTCACAGACACAAAAATAAAAAATAATAAAAAAACACATTATAGTAAAATGATAAATAAACTCATCGTGGTAAAATTTATATCTTCTTAGTATCGCATCGAAGCTAAAACTATTAATCAGGCATAATAAAGGAAACAAGAATTAATTTGCTTTTAGTATAATTCACCAATTTTTTTAAATTAAACACTATCCATAGATTTGCATCGAAGCGTATCTTGTGATAGTGATTTTAATCACTGTCAGATATCTTCTATACTTGTCCTAACTATGCCATGTCCATTATGTGTTACAATTCTACTGTACTACCGTTTTATAAATGTTTGTCTTTTTTAAAGTGCTTAATCACGAATGTGTTCATTCGGCAAAAATATTAATTTGAGTATTAACAAGTTTCTTTTTACTCATTGAATGTGAACGTGGACGGGTTCAGTTTTTTAGTGAACGTTCCAAGTACTGTTAATTTTAAATTTTATTAGAATAAAAGTATTTCTTACCTTTTCTAATTGTTTAATTGTAATACCCATTGCCACTGACAATAGAAGGTGATTAGATGTTATTGCTGGTCGTACTTGTTTAAGAACACATTTTACAACATTGGGTTTAACAGCCAAACAAATAATTTCTGAATTATCAGCAACTTCTCGATTGTCAAAAGTTACAATTGACCCCAACATCTGAAGTTTTATACTTTATTTTATTTTTGTTACAAATTAGGCAATAAAAAAGGTTTACAAGATAATGATCAAAATTTTTTTTTCATAGTAAATTTAAACTGTTAAACAAATTTATAATTGCATCTTAATTACCTCAAACGTGTTAATACATTGAATATCTTGTGGAACACAGCTAGCTGTAATTAATTCTCCTTTAGTAAGACCTGGTAAAATATATCAAACATAATAATATCCATTTGTAATAAATTTATTTAATAAAATATACATGCCCGCTGCTAGAAAACCTTTTGCTAAAGCCTGGGCCATTTTGCCGGCGCCTAAAAAGCCTATTTTCAACATTCAAAAATGTATTCTAAAAGGTACAATACATAAACTTTTATAATTATATATTTATAATGTTTTTTATTAACCAATGAATGGTAAATAAAAATAATAGCTAATGATAATTGTTTGTGAGTATAGATCATAGACATAATAAATTATGCCTTCATATATACGTTTACAGTATAAATGCAAGTGGGATTATGAACTTTGATTATTGTAATCATGTACATGTAACATGTACTTATATAGGCTCTTAGTATAGATAATTTATGACTAATAGTGTTTGTACTCAGATAATTTAACCAAAGATATCTTATATTATTTGAATTGTGTTCGTAATAATTATAATAGAAATACGTCGTTATCACTAATTATAATAATATACACATTTAGTGTTCAGTAGGTAATACAACGAGTATCTATTGTTCTCATTCATTGTAACAACTGACCTGTATCCTTATTTACTGCACACTCTGTATATTTATGTATACCACGTGACAGTATCGTATTATAAANGTATAACAGTCTAGTCTAGACAACGGAATATGCGATAACGCGTGGCGTTTGGAGAGTTACAAACTTACAAACAAACAACAAACATACACGTGAAACTAATAAAAGCGTATTAAAAAAGAGATGTATTAGAATAAGACCAACACAATTTTTATTTCTTTTAGGATAAAAATAAATATAGTTTAAAAAAACTAAAAAAACACGCTTTTAAAGCACATCAAACTAAAAAGTTAAAAATAATTTTTAAAATAAACTTAAAATAATTATGAATAAAAAATACTAGTATTATTGTGGTAAAAGCGTGTTTTTTTAGTTTTTTTAAACTATATTTATTTTTCACTTTTTAGTTTCATGTTATGATAATAGTTACTATCAATATCATGGTTGTAACGTGTAACGGAAAATCAGGGTTCGATTCCGGGGAGGGAGTCTGAGAAACGGCTACCACATCCAAAGAAAGCAGCAGGCTTTCTTTANAACAGAATTTTTAAACTCTCTGGATATACCAGGAATGCCACCACACAATCTACAGTTAAAAATTGGATCACCGATTATTTTATTACGTAATTTGAATCCACCCAGACTATGCAATGGTACACGTTTGGTCATCAAAAAAATTACCGGAAATATTATTGAAGCAACCATTTTAACAGGAAGATTTAAAGGGGAAATTGTTCTATTGCCACGTATCCCAATGATTCCGTCAGATACCACATTACCATTCAAAAGGCTTCAATTTCCTGTTCGATTAGCATACGCAATAACCATTAACAAGTCTCAAGGCCAGACAATGTCCGTTTGCGGTTTAGATTTAGAAAATCCATGCTTCTCCCACGGTCAACTTTATGTTGCATGTTCACGGGTTGGTAAACCGTCAAATTTGTTTATATTAACTAAAAACAAATTAACTAAAAATATTGTACACCAAATAGTACTCAATTAAATATTATTATCTATATAACTGTTTGGAAAAAAAAAACAACCTTTAATACTAATTCATTTTTTAAAAATGTTCGAGTTTCAGTTAAATAAACAATAATATCAACAAACATTTTTTTGGTCGTTCATCATTGAAAAATTGTGTTCAATGATTATCTCCGATAACTCAGATTCAAAAATTTTATAAGTATTTGCATGGTTATGCTACATATTTGAAAATAATATATTAATATAATATTATATAATAATATATTATATTAATCAAGCCACACCCAAACGTGGCCGGGTCAGCTATTTATGTATAAAACAATTTAAACGGCAAAACAACGTTTGCCGGGACAGCTAGTATATATATAAATTTATATATTCATATATTACACTTATAAATCCAAAACTTCTAATCAGGATATAAATAAGAAAATAGAAGATCATGTAATTTTTGGAATAATCCACCAATTTTTTAAAATTAAACACTATTTACAGATTTGCATCGAAGCGGTTTCTTATGAAAATGATTGTAATCATTGGCAAATATCATTATACTTGTCCCAAATATGCTACGTCACCACTGTCGCGGCATACTGTACTGGGTTTTTCTTATAGTTTTTTCGTAAAAATTACAATAGTAAACTATTAAATATCAATTTCATACTAAATTTAACTACTATGATAAGTATTTATCCATATATTACACTTATAAATGACAGAACTACTTCATAATATAATTAAGGAAACAATAATTGATGTTATTTCCGGAACACATTCAAAGGTTAAGTTGAAAAAGTTATCATTTTAAACTCCCCCCGTGGGCTGGTAAACAGTCAAATTTATAAAAAAATATACCAAATGAAAGGAAAAAAAAATCCCAGCACAGTGTGGACGTTGCATGTTGGGTCCAGTATAGATTTATATAGCAAAATGTTACAAAAAAATTTGGAATATTATAGACTGGTAGAAGCACACACAAATAGAGGAGTTAAAAAATTAATATATACTACAATATAAATGATTTACTTTTGAATTTGAATACTTTTATCATATCAATTCTATTTCGACAGTAAATACTTTAAGAATATTAGAAATGAATGATTTAATTGTTTGTATAGAGAAAGCTGGTTTAGCTACTTTTTATTTGAATAAGGATTTTTTTTTTCAATTTTTTAGGGTAATATCTTCAACTGAATATGAATTGTAATTATTTGACATATCGTTGAAAAAAGTAGGTCTAGTGAGGGTTGGCAAAATAAATCGTAGCCACAAAAAAAAAAATACATAGTAAAATAATATTAACATGAATATAAATTTCTTCTCACGAGAGGAGACTATAGTGATAGGATCCTTGATATTTATTGAAGTTATTGAATCTAAATGAGATAAATATCAAATGAATTGAACATTTTATTCTAACTCAAAAAAAAATGCAAAATATTAATAGCCACAGCCGGATTTCAACCTTGAACCGCAATCATGAAAGACACAAGTGTTACCGACTTGACAATTGTTCTTTGCTTATGGCACATGATAAAATTGGCTATTTTAACTAGCCTAAATTTAAAAATTATTTTTTCGACTTTAAAAAAGGAAAAAAATTTTATAAGTTTAATTTCTTATGTCTTATGAACTTTATTCTATGTCAATAAAATTGTATAATATTCATGAAAGTCAGTGTATTCGCCTAATAAGATATTTTAAAATAAAATAAAATACAAAACCTAGAATTTTAATAGAAAAATAGCATATTTTTGAATACGGTAGCCATTTGCGCATAGAAGATAGGTCGTCGGGACAAATTTTTTTTTTTCATTTTATAGTACATAAAATAAGCTTTAATTTGATAAATGTTTAAAAGACGCAGTATTTCCGGAACATTTTCAAAAATTAAGTTAAAAAAAAGTTGCTATTTTAAATCCCCCCAGTAAGCAGAATAGTGTTAGATTTTCAAAAAAATTCGATCTTACCCCGATGCGAGCACATCGCGATTATCGTCCGATTCTCTTTCGCCTACCCGTAAAAATATTTTTTGGGTCAATAGTGCTTGTAAAAACTGATAATAACATTTTATTGTATGATTTCTTTCTCATGTCAATTTTGTATTGGTAGTTTTTCTATCACTGTGTTAAATGATTATAATAATAAACTTATTAAAAACATTGTACGCAAATTAGTGATCATTCCAGTTTGTATATTTATTATCATTCCACAAGTAAAAACTCTACTATTTAAGGATCACATAATTCAGTTAAGATTATTTCAGTTTAATGTGCATATCATTTCATGCAATAACAGACCCTCGAATCACACTGCCCTCTGATAGTCTCAAAAAACATTCACCACTAAGTTTAATATCACATATGATTTTTATTATACCTTTAATCTTTATTATTTAAATTACAACAAAGCTTATTTTAAATTACGTATATTATAAATTAAAATATTTTAATTGATTATTCTTATTAATAATCAAACAGGATTTTGTTATTATTTAGTTTATATTCGAAACTATAATTGCAAATTTGAAATCGGCGCGAAAATGGGGTTAGAAAAGTATATTTTAGTCTGTATTGAAGAGTCCTTGTAGATCAGTAAATTAATGTATAAGTAATAAACATTTTAGCTTCGATGCGAAGCTGAGAATGTATTGGTTTTACTAAGATGTGTTTTTTTTGTGTCTGTTACCACTTTTACTCAGCTCTCACCGAACCGATTTCTTTCAATGATACGTCAAAAGATCACAAATCGTATCTAGTCGAAGACATTACCCTTAAAAATTGAAAAAATTTCCCTCGTTCCCCGTAAATGGGGGAAACCTCCAAAAAAATTACAAATTTAAAAATCGCTAATTTTCGAAATTTTTTCAATTTTTTTACTAAAATGTGCCATAATTTTTTTAAAAATAACCGAATCAATATAAAATTTTTTTATATAGATACATGATATCATTACCTTTTATTTGGTATATTTTTTTTTTATATGTGACCCATTACTTGCCCACAGGGGGGATTTAAAATGACAACTTTTTCACAAAAAATTAATTTTTTCAACTTGACTTTTGAAAGTGTTCCGGAAAGTCTGACACTTTTATATATATCTTAAATTAAAGCTAATGTAATATACTTTATCTTGGGAAATTTCGGACTTTATCTTATCTTCATGGTGATAATGGCTACTGAATGCTATTTTTGTATGAACATGTTCGATTTTGTATTTTATATTTTTAACTTTATTATGCTATAACTTTTTGAAAGATGTATGGATCAATATAATTATTTTTTTTATAGATTCATGATGTCTTTACCTATCATTTGATGTATTTTTTTTATAAATCTATAAAAATTTTATAAAATTTAAAATTACAAATTTAAAAATCGCTAATTTTTGAAATTTNGTATTTTTTTTATAAATCTATAAAAATTTTATAAAATTTAAAATTACAAATTTAAAAATCGCTAATTTTTGAAATTTTTGAAAAATTTTTTACTTTAAACTGTCTTAACTTTTTCAAAAATGAACAAATCATTATTAATTATTTTTTTATAGATGCTTGTTGTTTTTGACTATCATTTGATATATTTTTTTTTATAAATTTGACCCTTTACCACAGAGGATTTAAAATGACAACTTTTTCACAAAAATTCACTTTTTCAACTTAACTTTTGAAAGTTTTCCGGAAAGTCTGACTTTTTTATATATATCTTAAATTAAAGCTAATGTAATATACTTTATCATGAAAAAAAAAAATTTCAGACTTTATTTTATCTTCACGGTGAAAATGCTATTTTTGTGTGAAAATTTTCGATTTTGTATTTTACATTTTTAACATTNACATTATAATGCTATAACTTATTGAAAAGTGTATTGATCAATATAATTTTTTTATGAGAAATAATATTTTTTAATAATCCCTTTTTGATTTGACATACTTTATCTTAATCAGGATATTAATAAGGAACTAGCAGTTTATGAAGCTTTTGGAATAATCCACCAATTTTTTAAAATTAAACACTATCTAAAGATTTGCATCGAAGCGTTTTTTTTTTATAGTGATTTTAATCACTGTCAGATATCATTATACTTGATCTAACTATGCCACGTCACCACTGTGCCGCGACCCCCCTGTGCTGGGTTTTTTTTTTTTTGAAAAGTATTGAATCAAGCCTTTCAATTTTTATACGCGTTTGCCATGAAAGGTTCAACTACTTTTAATTTTTTTATAATTTCTACAAAAAAATATCAATACTAAATTATTAAATATCAATCATACTACGTTTAATAGATATTTATTCATATATTATAATTCTAAATCAATGAATTACTAATCAGGATATAATAAAGGGAATGAGATTTAATATTACTTTTGTAATAATCCAACAATTTCTTAAAATTTAATACAGATTTGTTTTGAAGGCTTTCTTATGATAGTGATTTTAATCTCTGTTAGATATCCTATATACTTGTCCCAAATATGCAACGACACCACTTTGCTACCGTTCTATGGTAGCGATATAAGTTAGATATTGATCTGTGCCACGATCACCCTGAATTATTTTTAATTTTTGTTTAGGTTCAACCTTATGTCTACCCACAGAGAGAGGTTCAAAATAGACGTATATGTATATATATATATATATATATGAATCCAATATATATATATTGATTATAAAGATGTACATGGATTTAAAATGTGAATACTGTTGTATTGGATTAGACAATAAACATAAATACAACTGATATATTATTTAAATTTAAATAAAGTGAAATATTATTAAATAATCCATAACTATAATTTATAATAATAGTAAGTTGTAATATTAATAGTATTAATAATAAATAACATAGTATAATTTACTAAAATACCATTTAACTAATTTTATTTTTCGAAAGCGAAAACCTAAATACACGAACCATCACATTATGTTTCATCCGCTGCAAGCGGTTTTCAACCAAAGCAGATTCATCTATAATAAATAATATTATAATGTATAATATTTGCTTAATGGTTTAACATTTGAGTATAATGATAATTAATACATTAAATTATATTTCAATACAATGTAACAATTATTAGTAACCAAAATGAGAAATACGCTTTAATTCATAAATAAGTATGCTGATATGCTTTATCAAACAATTTTGGTAAGAAGTCAATAGATCACATATTAACATTTTGTGAATTTAATTAATATAACAAATTAATATTCCTTTATTATATTCTTCAATTATACCTCAGTACTAATAGATTTAACATAAAGGGCTCAGCAGCAATTAAAAAATAAATTACCCATATAAATAAATTACATGGGAATATTTTCAATACTAAATAAGAATTTTAATTAAAATTTTTCTAACATATTTAAGCAGAGTTTAGATTATTATACCAAAATTGTAAAGATATTAAAATTAATGTTATAATATATATGAGTTTATAGTGTAATTGTTCTTATTATCAACTTTTGTTACTGACCATTAATAACATAAATGATTATATTATATTATTCATTTTAAATTTTTATTATGACAACAACAAAATGTTGAAAATATTAATTAGTATCAATTGATATTACTAAATTGAAATTATAATCTGAAAATATAATTATATTAGTAGTGCAATATAATTAAGTAAATATTTGCTTATACTGAATTTATTTCCGTTCTTATAAAATTGAATGTTGCATACTGGCTAATAAAATTGTAAAGCTCTTATTATGAATTTTTAGAAAAAACATCTGCATGATTTATACTAAAATATTTTACAATTCATAAACGAGTCATTTCTAAAGATTTAAGATCACCCACTAAAACATTAATATTTTGTAAAGTATCTGATGCCATATCAGCACTGCTTGATGACTCAGTGTAGCTAGGAGTGCCTTCTGTCCATGTTGCCTCTACTGAGTGTCTGCCTGCTGAACCCCCAATGCCAGATGTAGTACTGCCTGATCCTACACTCAATGTTGATGACTTACTCTCACCAGCATGCAATGAGCCTGATGGACCATCAGTTCGTAGACCAGGAGAAGGACGTCTTATACGAGTCATACTAGAACGTTTTTCATGAACAAAATCACGTCGAATGGCATCTTCAAATGCTGGAGGTGGAGTTGAACATGTAGAAAAAGTTCCTTCTGGATCAGTTTGATCACGTGTACGTGTACGAGACATGCTTCGACGTTTAGAAGGAGAACGTTTTAAAGGACACAAGAGTTTTTTGAACACAGATCTAAAAAAAAAAAGAATTATTACAATAAAATGATTTCATAATAATCATTTTACATACTTAGACATAAAGTCAAGAAATCTTGTAGCATAAAAATCTGGTCTATGTACAGATACAGTATCACCATCATGAATTATTGCTTTAAAAGTATGTTCAAGTTTTTTTTTCAATCGATAACTTTGCAATATATCAATGATGCCGACAAATAATAACAAACTATCACCATTACCACTTCTAGCAGGAATGCCACCTCTAGGTGAAGAATTATCTTCATCAGATGAAACTCCAGTATCTGCTTGAATACTTTCCATTGCAGTTGAATGAGCCATTAAGCGTTGTCGATTTGCTTCAGCAGTACGACTTAATGTTGAAGTTTCTGATAAAGTATCAGCATCATTTTCAACAGATTTACGTAGTCTTGCAATGCGTCGTTCTTCTTTTTCTCTTTGTGCAAGATCAACATTATGAACTCCCACTAACAAACTGTAATCCATAATTTTAAAACTTTCTAACACTCTACAATCTCTTTGCATTGTTTTAAGTAAAGCTGCATGTGTATCAGATTCCAAAAATATTCCATCAGGGTGATGTTCTTTAAAGTCTAAATCTTTAAAAGTTGGAGAAGACTTTTGTCTTTCATCTTTGGAAGCTTTTCTTTTGTAAGTAGAACCTTTAAGATCATACTTTTGATGTATTTTTATATTTGATGGTAACAAATTGTTCATAGCTACTAGTCTTATGTTTTTTGAGTTACATTGATAACAGTAAAGTCCAAAAAATTTTGGCAATAAAGTTCGTGGGTTCTGATTTAAATTCATGTAATAACCAGGAAGAAGTTTTTGTAAAAATTCACCTTCCTTATGCTGAACAGTTTTCATAATAAATTCATCATCACGAGTAAGATAAAAAATAGAACCACTAGCGCCAGGATTAGATAGCTCACGAAGTGGTGAATTACAAAATGATATCAAATAATCATCTGGTTGTATACCAAATAAGTCTCGAAAATAACGGAATGCAATTGGAGCATATGTTTTAAAAATAAATTCTGGATAATGGTGAGCAGGTGTGTGATTTGTACCATCACTTGGAAATGTGGTCGTTTCAACAGTCATAAAATCTTGCATGAGTAAATCACGTTCAGGCTTAGATGCAAGACCACCAACTGCATGCTGTATTCCAAGCTGTATAGATCCCATAATTTGACCAGTTTGTATCTTTTTATAAGTAATTTCACCATCAACTCCAACTCGTCTATGCCCAAGCTTCTTTTCTTTTTCTTTAGCTTGTAAATCATCTTGATCTGCAATTGAAGGATCTTTTTCAATTGCCAATACATCTGAAATAAAAATACTATAAATATTATACATAATAATTGCTTATAATATAGGTTATTAGTTGAATCAATAACTGATTACAAAATGCTTAAATTTAACATTTATATTAAAGTTTTAAAATATTTTTGCAATTAAAAAAAATATTAATATCATATAATAAATATAGTATTTTATAAAGTTGTGTATATAGGTATTTTTATTAGAAAATGGAATTCTTATTTTAATTTTAATATATTTTTCTTAAGATATTAAAATTATTAAATATTATTTTTGATACAATGAAATTTAGGTTTAAACATATATTTTTAAATTAGCCCAGAAATCTTCAATATCAATATAACATCATTTATATCGTTTTAGAACGCTATTACATAATTTTTATTTAGATGAAACAATTTAATTTACTTAAGTAATGAAATTTTCTTAATTTAAAATTTAGTATATTATTCATGTTGATGCAAAAACCAGAAAAATGGAAAATATTGTGTTTTACTATTTTAGCCAATAGGCAATGTACATCATACCTTTAACAAGAAGATCCTAACAGACTAATGACTAGTCCTTAAATATTTATTTTTAAGAAACCTTTTCTAGAGGACTGCTTTAGACTTAAAAGTGTAAAAAAAAACACTTACCTTTTTCTAGGGTTTGTCCAACTTGTTCTTCATTAGCAGGTCGAATATCACTCATTTCCATTTTATTATTTTTGATTATCATAAGAGCATGACCTAGTAATATTGATCAATTTAGATGATACAAGCTTGTTGAATTGCTGACAGTAATTTTTACTTATGTTTGACAATAATGCAAATATTGTTTCGTAATATGTATTGGTAATCTCTATATTTTTATCAAAAACATATGAAACAACACGAAAACCGCAATCATTCAATAACACACAATAATTACAATTCTCTAATGTTTCAATATTCAAATAAACACCATCAGATAATTCAAGAGATGATATTTCTATACGATTCACTAAGAATTTCTCATTTTCTATTATTTTTTTAGCTTCACCAATCCAATCAGAAGGAGTTTCCATATAAAGTAAACCTCCTAAAAATAAAGCCATACAATATTCATTAAAAAACTAAATAAGTTAAAAACTGGCATTAAGTTCAAATGTCAAAACATAGTAATTTTGATCGAAATATATTCGATGCATTTTAATACTAAAAAAATATTAACCTTAATAATTACAATAAGTGTTTCGAAAATGTATACTCAAAAAGAATTCCGTATATACAATGAAATAACTATTCGACTTACGATTATTTTAATCGATGGTTAACTCCAAAAATTAGGAATGTAAATAGTTAAGGTGGATGTTTAATATTTGATTACATAGTGCAAAATAATGCATTTTAAATAATAACAACAATTAACAATGGTTTATCTATATTATCATATTATGGGAATATTTAAAAATGAAAAAGTCAACAGCAATAACAAATTTCCAAAAATTATCAATTTACATTGTCTAGATGGCTCTTGTTTAGTTAGATTTAGTTATAATACATATGACTTTAGAGAGCCTTGTGGAAAAGCCAAGAACTGAATATAGGACGATAGAAACGAGTTTTTTTATTCTACAACTTGAAGTTCGTGACAATCAACTATAAAAATTAAGAATATCACTGCAGTCTCTCAGCAACGTGATTAAGAGGATTCCATACGGGCAAACAAAACGACATAACCGAGAGAATGCGCTTTTAGATGTTTTACAGCCGAATTCATCTATCACCCTGTCCATCATTCCAGATAGCATGCGCGTACATATACGGCCACCTAATATTATTTTGGAGTGCGCGTCATTCTACTAGTGTTGGGTATAATCGAATTATTAGTAATTGAGATNCAGCCGAATTCATCTATCACCCTGTCCATCATTCCAGATAGCATGCGCGTACATATACGGCCACCTAATATTATTTTGGAGTGGCGTGATACTAGTGTTGGGTATAATCGAATTATTAGTAATTGAGACGTTTTTGTAATCGAGAGAATCACTCGAAATTAAAATCGTTAATTTGTTTTATAAAAATAATCGATTATTTTTACCGATTTTGAGTATATTTTGATTACTCTAGATACATTTATAAGTTATAAATTATAACCAAATTATTCAAAAGTAAAAAAATATGCACCTACTATTTCATATTCACTAGTAAATGAATAATTAATCTAAAATTTTGTATTTGATGGTATAATACCTATAGTTAGTAAAATTTTTATTTAAAAATAACACTAATCGTGTTAATACTTGGCTATTAATGCGTATCTTAAATAAAAGACAAAGATGTATTATTTTTTATAATCGTTTAATATTTATTGATATCATTGTAATTAGGTACCTAATCTACTCGTTTAAAATATATCTACTATGAATAGAATATATATATTTATGTTAATAAAATAAAAAATTAATAATAGTTTACAAGTTGAAATACAATATACCATCAAACCCAGCTTAAATGTTGACTCAGCATTAAAACTCTAAAATAAAATTTATTGAAATATCATCTGAATTAAAATGCTCTATAATAAATTTAAAAAGACAAAAATAGATTATTCCATATATCCATGTATCTTATTTGGAATTTCTGGAAACCCTTAATGAAAGGTTATAAATAATATAATTTTTTCATTTAAGTTAGTTGTGTTTTTGTATATTTCATAATCTTTTTTACATATTTGACACGTAACAGTTTTGTTCCAGTATTTTTTTCAAAATATTCCAGACAACAACGATGTTTATAATCCAGTCACACAATTAAATTATGAAAGTTCATAATAACACTAGTACGGTTGCGCCGCACAGTGGAATGAAACGCCGATTTAGGCGGCCAAAAGTATCATTTTTTAAAAGACACTTAAATTTTTTTTTTTTAGCAAAACACACTAATATCATACTTAACGGTTTTAATACAAATTTTCAAGGGCATAAGTTGATTTAGTGAAGGTGTAGAGCTATTTTAATGTTATACTTCAAAAAATTTATCCGGATTTTCAGTTATTGTGAGTTTATTTTTGTACATTTTTTTTATACCTTAAAACATAATTTAAAATTAAAAAAAATTTTTATTCCTATTAAAAAAGATGTCCTTTTTCAAATGAAAAAAAATAAATTTTTTTTTTATTTTTGTGGAATTTAACAAATTTATACTTAAAAAAAAATCGAATTTTTTTGTTTTTTTCTCTAGTTTGTTTGTTTAAAGAGATTAACTAAAAATTACGCAAAATTACACATAAAATCCATACATGTGGCTTGTAGAGGAAGTCATTAGCTATACTATGAAAAAAAAAAATTTTGCGCTCGATAATATTTGAACTGTACATACTGCATTTACCTAGATTAACGAGTATTTTCCTAAAAATCGTATGTTTTACAGGACTTTTACTTTATAAATAAAATTAGACATTACTTATTATTAATTGTTATACGATTACATTGATATATAAATATGAATATTTTAGTTTTATACATATAAAAAATAATTATGCTATTGATAAATTCATGTCTGAAAATGAATGATTTAATTGACTATTTAATTCATCTTCTTTATAGTTGTCATCATTATGAGGGAATATTACTAATATAATAAAAAATATCAACATTTATTTTAGGCAACTTATTCTATAACTTAGAATATGGTAAGATAAATCTGTAGAGAATGTTTCATTTAGAGAAATTGGTGGATTATTCCAAAAGCAGCATCAACTCTTATTTCTTTAATTATATCCTGATTAGTAGTTCTTTGATTTTAAAATATAATATATGAATAAATACTAATTATAGTTTTTAAATTTAGTATGAAATTGTGAGGCCAGCTATGATGTATGGTTCATAGTGTTGGGCGGTTGATAAGAAAGTAGAGCAGAGAATAAGTGTAGCAGAGATGAGAATGCTTAGTTGGATGAGTGGAGTGACTAGAGAAGATAAAATAAGGAACGAGTATATAAGAGTGAGTATAGGTATAGTGTCAATTGTGGATAAGATGAGAGAAAATAGACTTTAATAGTCTATANAACAGTTATAGAAATGAATGTTGAAGGAAGAAGAGATAGAGGAAGACCAAAAAAGAGATTGAGGGATGCTATTGAATGCGATTTGAGGACAGCAGATGTGATNGCTATTGAATGCGATTTGAGGACAGCTGATGTGAGCGTAGAAGATGTGGGAGATCGTGTCAAGTGGAAGCTTAGGATAAGGGTGGCCGACCCCAAGTAGTTGGGATTAAGGCAAAGAAAAAGAAAAAGATTACCAGAAATTCCGGTGGCAATTGACATAATATGATTGTTGTTTGGGAATGTACAATTTAGCGTTTAGTTGGGTTTAAACAATATAGCGTCAAATCAATTACCTACTCTATCGCTTGTATATTAATATACACTACAGTTTAATGATACAATAAATAAATAAACTCACACATACACACGTATGCATTTATAACATTGTGTCTAATGTAAGAATAACATGATAAAAAGTAACCGTAAAATGAAAAAACGGTAGCACATTGGGGTCGAAGTACAGTGTGGACGAGGCATAGATGGGACAAGTATAGATATATCTGATAGTGATTAAAATCACCATCATAAGAAACGCTTCGACGCAAATCTGTAGATAGTGTTTAATTTTAAAAAATTGGTGGATTATTTCAAAAGCAACATGATCTCTTATTTTCTTATTTATATCCTAATTAAGATAAAGTATGTAGAATGAAAAAGGGATTATTAAAAAATATTATTTCTCATAAAAAAATAATGTTGATCCATACATTTTTTAAAAAGTTATAGCACTTTAAAGTAAAAATGTCAATTATAAAATCGAAAATTTTCACACAAAAATAGCATTCGGTAGCCGTTTTCACCATGAAGACAAGTCCAGAGGTCAAATTTTTTTTTTTCAAATTAAAGTATATTACATTAGCTTTAATTTAAGATATATATAAAAGTGTCAGACCTTCCGGAACATTTTCAAAAATCAAGTTGAAAAAATTAATTAATTAAAAATTAAATAAAAAGGAATGATATTATGTATCTATATAAAAANATTTATGATCTTTTGACGTATCATTGAAAGAAATCGGTTCGGTGAGAGCTGAGTAAAAGTGGTAACAGACACAAAAAAAACACATCTTAGTAAAACCAATACATTCTCAGCTTTGCATCGAAGCTAAAAAAAAAGACTAAGACTATTTTTTGATATGAATAATCACATTTTAACTAGTGATGGGCATAATCAAGATATTTCGGTTATAAGTAAAATAATCGTAATTTCGTAAATGAATTAGTATATTTTAAATTTCAATAATAGTATACATACATTATACATTAGTCCGTAGTATTATTGAAACATCTTATGCATATTTCTTTACATATATTTAATTTAATAATTTGGTTATAAGTTATAAATGTATTTAATGTAATCGAAACATACTTAAACATCATTAAGAATAATCTCGATTACTATTATCAAAATAATAAAATGATTTTAATTTCGAGTAAAATTTCTAGAGATCCTCTAGATTACTAATAATTCGATTATGCCCATCACTAATTAAAAATATGTAGATGGATACCAATAGCAGTTATAAAATTGGGTGGTCTAGTATCCGTTTATTTAAGATTATTAAAAAATCAAGGGATAGCGTTAGTTTTCCATCACAGTAAGAAGANTGATGGGCATAATCAAGATATTTCGGTTATAAGTAAAATAATCGTAATTTCGTAAATGAATTAGTATATTTTAAATTTCAATAATAGTATACATACATTATACATTAGTCCGTAGTATTATTGAAACATCTTATGCATATTTCTTTACATATATTTAATTTAATAATTTGGTTATAAGTTATAAATGTATTTAATGTAATCGAAACATACTTAAACATCATTAAGAATAATCTCGATTACTATTATCAAAATAATAAAATGATTTTAATTTCGAGTAAAATTTCTAGAGATCCTCTAGATTACTAATAATTCGATTATGCCCATCACTAATTAATAATATGTAGATGGATACCAATAGCAGTTATAAAATTGGGTGGTCTAGTAACCGTTTTTTTAAGATTATTAAAAAATCAAGGGATAGCGTTAGTTTTCTATCACAGTAAGAAGNCTTCAAATACATTTTAATTGATGATAAATTTTTAAAGTAAATTTGTTTTTTGTATTAATAAAAATACAATCATTTTTAATATCGATTCTAATTTATATGGCATTATTTACTGCTTGAGATTTAAAATATTAAAATGTCTATGAAAAATCAGTTAAGATCTGTTATTCCTAGAAAAAAAGGATCNTGTATATGAATATATGTAATCTATTTATTATAATAAAGCATTTAAATTGTTAGCTCATTTTTAGATTTTTAAATATTGAAACTAAATAATTTGTTTAGTTTAAATGTGTTTCCTAATTATTATAATAGTGACTCTTATATCGATTTTATTTTTCCGGTATAATTTCTTATGTTTTATATTATTTGACATAACATATAACAATTTATTAGTTACTTCATTTAGTAATTACTTATTACTTATTTTATAATAAAATCGCAAATAGATAAATTATACGCTATTACTGCGACATTAACGTCATAAATTACTNTTGTTTTTTGTATTAATAAAAATACAATCATTTTTAATATCGATTCTAATTTATATGGCATTATTTACTGCTTGAGATTTAAAATATTAAAATGTCTATGAAAAATCAGTTAAGATGTTATTCCTAGAAAAAAAGGATAACTGTCAGAATGTTTGATATCAGAGTATAAAAACGATCTTGCAAATAGAGTTAAAACTAAAAAACGCCAGTTTAGCTCTCTAAACCTTGAAAATGATGAAATTGTAAACAAAATCAAATATAAAAAGCACCGTTATACTTCACATACTCATGAAAGTAATGACAAAAGTGTCCATAAAAGCACTAATAACAAAATACTAAATAAGTTTTATAAAAATAATGATATAACAATAACCAACTGTGTAGAACCTGATGAATTAAATTGTAAAAATACAGTTAAAAATAAGAAAGAACAAAATTCAAATAAAATAGAAAGAAAAAAATGTATTGCTCATACATTTAAGAAAGATGAAGGT